GCAGGCTGGGCCCTGCCCCATAGCGGCTGCACAGATGCCCCCTCCCCCCACCTCGGGGCTTGCCTTGCTCTGTGGTGGGGGGGAGTTTGCTACATTATGTCTTTCCCCTGCAGCCCTTCCTCCCTCTGGCTGGGTCCCCCCAGTTCCTCCCCCCCGGCACAGGCGGGTCTCTCCCAGAGCTCGCCCACCATTGTCCCCGTTGCCTCCGCAGTGACCTGGCAGCGCCTGATCAAGAAGCACGGTGGCACCATCACCACTGCCCTGGACGTCAGTGCCCTGGCCAAGCTCTCGGACGGCTACAGCCAGGGGCACCTGGCGCGGGCCGTGCAGATGGCGCTGACCGAGCGGCGCCTCCTGCAGATGCCCAAGAAGCCGCTGCGGGCAGGCGAGTTCCTGCGGCTTCTGGCCAAGGCGGATCCCATTTACAGTGAGGAGGAGAAGACACTGCAGGTGCCTGGCTGAGCCCTGGCGATCCCAGCCCCCCACGTTACTGTCACCCCTTGGGGCAGGCAGAGGGGGGCCCTTCCCTCCAGCCCCACACCCCAGCCTGGTCCCTGCCCCCCACATTACTGTCACCCCTCTGGGCAGGCAGAGGGGGGCCCTTCCCTCCAGCCCCACACCCCAGCCTGATCCCAGCCCCCCACATTACTGTCACCCCTTGGGGCAGGCAGAGGGGCTCTTCCCTCCAGCCCCACACCCCAGCCTGGTCCCTGCCCCCCACGTTACTGTCACCCCTCTGGGCAGGCAGAGAGGGGCCCTTCCCTCCAGCCCCACACCCCAGCCTGATCCCAGCCCCCCACATTACTGTCACCCCTCTGGGGCCCCTTCCTCCAGCCTGGTCCCTGCCCCCCACGTTACTGTCACCCCTCAGGGCAGGCACAGGGGCCCCTGCACCCCAGCCTGATTCCTGCCCCCCACATTACTGTCACCCTTCTGGGCAGGCAGAGGGGCTCTTCCCCCAGTCCTGCCCCAGCCTGGTCCCTGCCCCCCACATTACTGTCACCCCTTGGGGCAGGCACAGGGGGGCCCTTCCCTCTAGCCCCACACCCCAGCCTGTTCCCTGCCCCCCATGTTACTGTCACCACTAGGGGCTGACTCAGGCTCACCCTGCCATCCCCCCAACCCGGGGTGTTCTCTGCGATGCAGCATCAGCTCTGCGCTGACCTCCCCCACTCCTTTGCACCCTCTTGGCAGGACTGGTACATGAAGACGCCACTGGGTAAGAAGCGACTCAAGGCAATGCAGGAGAGCGCAGACCGGAAGGAGGGAAAGGGGAAGGACAAGAAAGGAAAGAAGGGGAAGAAATAGTGCTGGCTGAGGGGCCCTGCACATCCCTCCCCGGGCTTTATGCTCTGGGGCCCTTGGGGCAGGGCAGCCCCATAAAGTCAACTTATTCTTCATCCCGCCCGTCTGTGCAGAAAGATGGCTGTGAGCCGGGGGAGTGCAAGTGCGCATGTGGGGCAAACCTGGGGGGGTATCTGTGCATGTGTCTGTGTTTGTGCACATGTGTGTGCATGTGGGGTGAGCCTGGGGCATTGTGCATGCATGTGCTGTGTGTTTGCGCACGTGTGTACATGTATGCATGTACTGGGTGCATGTGGGGGGTTGTGCATGCATGTGGGGTGTGTGTGTGTGTGCATGTAGGGGCATGTATGCATGTACCCTGGGGAGGATGAGCAAGAGTGGTGCATGTGGGGTGAGACAGAGCCAAGAACTACACCTGGAATGGCAACCGGGAGCACGGTGGGGGTCTGCCCAGCTCCAGTCTGAGGGGGCCCGTCGTCTGGGTCACTGCCCTCATGCAGCCCTGAGAGGGAACAAGCCCCCTGCCCCTGAGCCCAGGCAGCTCTGAGCTGTGCACCCAGATGCCTCTACTCCAGAGAATGGGGGGCAGCCCCTCCCTCTAGGGTTCTGGGCCCCTCTGCTCAGCTCCCATCCACTGAACCCTGCATGCAGCTCTGGGTCCCCCAGTCCCTGAGAAGAGCGTGCCCCCATCCCTATAGGGGGCTGGGGACGGACACACATGCACACGGGACACCATGCTTCTCTCTTCCCCCTCCCCTCAGACCTTGCACTCAACTCTGGGGCTCTCAGTCCTCACATAGAGGGAGCTCCAGGAGCTGTGTAGCTGCCTGAGGGTGTCACAGTGTGTGGGGACAGGCTGCAGAGCCCCAAGAAGGGAGAGGAGCTTAGTGTAGCCCTGGGGGTCTGACTGGACCATGGGATGTGAGTGACTGAGCAAAGGGGAAGAACGCCAGGCGCTGCTGGTTACTGGACGGTGCCACTGGGAGGTGGTGGGCGCTGCATTGCTCCAGCAATTTAAATTGGATAAAGCCCTGGGTAGCTCTGTATTTGCAGGAAGTAGGGGGGCGGGGGCCTCTTCTGGCCAGATTCCTGCCATGGTGGCTCGGCTGGTTCGCAGCACATTCTCTGCAGGGCGGCGACTCACTTGTGCGTCTGGCTCGGCATCTAGGTCACTGCCAGCGCGTAACAGAATGAACAGTAGGGATGGAGCAAGGCAGAGACAAGGTGTCTCCTAGGTTGCATGGGAGCTCCCAGGGGGGCTGTGCCTCTGTCCGCTACTTTCTCACTGGCCGTTTGCAGTGGTTCCGAACTTCCACAGGCCAGTTCCCCTTGCGCTGGGATTCTCCAGCCAGGAGAGTGGCCCAGAAGTGCATTTTCCCCCATTATTATTATTTTAAAGTTTGGGCAAAATCAGTTCATCCTATTTAGAGTTAAGTGGGGCACGAAAGATACTTCTGCATGTTCCAGTCAGAAGTGGGCTCGGGAACTCTCGGACGTCTGGCTGTAGGAGTTCTGACTCAGCTGGGCTTGTAGAACTCAGTTGAACCTTTGGAGACAAGCCAGCTTTGAGAGAGTCAGTTCAGTAATTGCCAGGTTCATACTTGCCTTAGCAGAGCTTTCTTGTTTGGTTTCTGAAAGACCAGGTCAGGGAGGGAATATCTTTTATTGGACCAAATTCTGTTGGTGAGAGAGACGAGCTTTCAAGCTACACCGAGCTCTTCTTCAGGTTAAAGCTACCCCGAGCTGCAAGGTTAAAATGCTGCATCAGCGCAGCTGCACTGACACGGCTGCAGTGCTTAAGGGCATGTCTCCACATACAGCGATGCAGCGCGTCTGGTGAAGACGCTCGATGCCGACGGGAGAGAGTGCTGCTGTCAGTATAATAAAGCCACCTCTGTGAGCAGCGGTAGCTGTGTCGGTAGGAGAAGCTCTCCCCCCAACAGCGCTGTGCACACCGGGGTTCTGTCAGTGTAACTTACGTTGCTTGGGGGATGGTTTTTTCACACCCCGAGCGACATAAGTGGTAGTGTAGACATAGCCCAAGCGAAGAGGCTCCTATGCCGACGGGAGAGCTTCTCCCATCGGTGTAGTTAATCCACCTCCCCGAGAGGCGGTAGCTGTGTCAGCAGGAGAAGGTCTCCAGACTTTTCACCTCCCTGAGCGACATAGTTACACTGACCTAGGTCTGCAGTGCAGACCTGGCCTCAGAGCACACAGCTCAGTGCAAGGTGGAACAGATTGTTTAGCACAAGGAGTTAACACATCTTTCAAGGGACCATGCAAGGTGAAGGTGCTTTGAAGCAAAATCTTTTCTGTTGCTTTATCTAGAGTGATTCCCAGTGGCTGCTGTTCCCCTCTCAGGATGGCTGGAGCTGCTTGAACAGCTTGTGGTGTCCCAGCTAAAGGTGCCATGAGCCCAGGAGAGCCTGACACCTCAGCGGGGTGTGTGAGCTGCCAGGCAGCAGAGCAGAGAGCCCAAGCGAGCTCCTAGAGGCTTCACAGGGGCCAGCTCCCATTCCCACCTTCTTACTTGGGAACAAACTCACAAGAGAAATACATGTGAAAAACAGTGTTCCTGCCTCGTGAGGCTGCAGAGCCGGCCAGGCCAGGCCAGGAAGCCACACGGCCCACCTGGGGTGCCCTCCTTGGGAGCACGTCTCTGACTGGGGTAGCATTGGCAGCTGCATCTCTCTCACCCCGAACCAGGTCGTGTCTCTGAGATGGCTGCTGTGTTCTGGTGTGACTTAACCAAACGGAAAAGCTCTTTAAAGCCCTGGTGGTTTCCATACGAACCTCTCCCCTCTGAAGCAGCTGGAGAGAACTGGTTTCCTCCCTTTTCTGGGGGCTGGATTTGGATACTGCATAGAAATGGGCTGGCCCCTCCCTGCTCCTGGGCAGGCCTCTGGGACCATGGGGCTTAGAGTGGAGTGCAGGGTTCCCAGAGGGGTCTCCCGAGAGCCCCATAGCGAGAGTGTGTCCCTTCCCTGCCTTTGGAAAGAGACTGTAATGGACAGTCCCCACGTTCCCTGTTCCCCACTCCTGCCCAGTCCCATGGCCCTAGGTGAGGTCTATTCACTGCACTGCCCCAGCCAAGTCTTGCCCTAGTATTCCCCCCCCCCCCCCCCCCCCCCCCCCCCTCCCGCGTCGTCACTACTCTGCTGCTCTATAGCCCAGGTGCCATGTACAGAGGGTAAAGGAGAGCAGGCTTAACCCGGCCCTGGCATCGCCCCAACTCCTGTCTCAGATGCACCCCCCTGCTCGCTGCTCCTGCATTGCACCACATTCCAGTGAGCTCTGGGCCAGGCTGGCTCTGCTCTGCGGTGCACATTTCCGGGTGCTGTGGGCATGGCTCCTCTGTCCCTGCACCTACTGCCCAGGGGCACAGGGAAAGAGTCCTCACTGCCCTGTGCTAGCCAGGGAGAGCGACCAGTCAGGGGCCTGCCCCCTGCCCAAAGTGACCCTGGAGATGAGTGCCAGCAGAGGAGGATAAACAAACTCTGGTGGTGGGTGCTGCCAAGAGCGCTATTTATAAAGGCTGAGTCAGGCCTGTGCCTGACCCAACCAGCCAGCCCTGAGCAGCCTGCATCCGGGAGCAGCCCACCAAGGGCACACCACTGAGCCAGGAGCTCTGGGGCTGCAGCAGCAGCAGCCAACTGCCCCTTTATAAAGCCAAGACTCACCCCGTGCGTCTCTCCATGACGGGCTACAGCTGCCCCTTCAGCTCTGCACTGCAGCCGGACGAGGATCTGGTGGGCAGGTGCACGCACACCAGGCACATGGAGCAAGGCCTGACGGCCCCAACGCCCGGGGGCCGGGGATTCCGCAGCAGCCGCATGGAGCCGATCGAGTGCCGAGATGTGTTGGTGCAGAATGCGCTCTTCACCGGGGACCTGGAGGCGGTGCGGAAGCATTTCACTGAGAGCGCTGCCGTCAACCTCATCATTGAATCCAAGGGTGACGAGCTGCGGTGGACCAGCCGGAAACTCGGTGAGAGCGAGCACCTGGGGGACAGAGTGCTTGGTGGGTGGAGGCTTGGGGGTGAGAGGGAGTGCTAGGGGGGTGTCAAGGGGAAGGGAGTCCAGGCGGATGTGTGTTGGGGGCAGAGGGAGCACCAGAGGGTGATGAGGGAGTGCTGGGGGATGGGGAGGGAGCACTAGGGTGTTTTATATCCAACCCAGGTCCCCATCCCAGTCTCTAGGGCGACGTCCACACTGCAGACTAGGGGTGTGACTCCGCTTGTGTGCACATACACCCCTAGCTCTCAACGAGCTAGCGCCAGTAGCTGTAGCGCCGTGGCCATGGCAGCGCAGGCCCGGCTGAGCTGTGCCAAGAACATGCCCAGTGGTTTCAGGCGGGTTTATATTCTGCACAGCTCAGCCGCGGCTGCACTGCTATTGATCCTCAGGCCAGCCTGATGGTAGGGTGCCCAGCGTTTCCAGTGCTGTTGCGCTGGGATAGGGTGACCAGACAGCAAGTGTGAAAAATCGGGGTGGGGTGGGGGGTTGTGATGAACTGGGACTGTTCTTAATGTGGTCTTTGAATGCTGAGTGGGGAGTTTGGCTGGGACGGTCTGCATTGGGGGATGGGAGACTGGCCTTGAGGGAAGATACCTGAGCATGTAACGGGAGAACCCAGGAGGGGGCTGGGGCCAGGTGACACCTCTACCCGGGAAACTGGACAAAGGCTGGGGGAGGAGCCGGGGAGAAACGCTGGAGGGAGTTGGAGTTTCAGGAGCTGGCTGGTGTAATGGAGGGGAGCCCAGACGGGGCTCTGACCCCCCAATGGGGCTGTGGTGCCACTGGGACCCCTAGATGGACCTAACTGGGGGGGGGGGTCCTGTTGTCTGTACCTGCAAGACCTGTCTTGGACTGTGTTCTTGTCGTCTAAATAAACCTTCTGTTTTACTGGCTGGCTGAGAGTCATGGTGAATCGCAGGAAGCCGGGGTGCAGGGCCTTGTCTCCCCCCACACTCCGTGACAGGGGTAATAGGAGCCTATATAAGAAAAAGACCCAAAAAATCCGGACTGTCCCTATAAAATCGGGACAGCTGGTCACCCTACGCTGGGAGTGGAGTTCACCCGAGGGTATCACAAGATCCTGGTGCGGGAGCATAGGCGCCGCTCAGCAGCCATGGGGCTGGCCGGGGCTGCTGCTCTGGTGGCCCTGGGGCTGGCAGCTGTTCAGTGGGACTGTGGGCCGATCAGCTGTGGAGCGGGCTGCTCCACCCTTCAACTGCTCAGTGGGGCTGCCCCGCCACTGGCTCCTCTCTGACCCGTCCCTCCCTCACTGCCCTTAAGGCAGTAGGGGGCAGAAAAGAGGGGGGCTTTGGGGGACGGGGCAGAGAGGGGGTGGGGCTGGTTTGGGGCACCCACTGGCAAAATGAAAAGTCAGCCCCTATGGGGGAGGGGGTTAATAGAACATATGTAGGGCCCTACCAAATTCCTAGTCCATTTTGGTCAATTTCACGGTCATAGGATTTTAAAAATCATAAATGTCATGATTTCAGCCATTTAAAGCTGAAATGTCAGTGTTGTAATTGTAGGGGTCCTGACCCAAAAGGGGGTTGTGGGGGGAGTCGCAAGGTAATCGTGGGGGGTGCGTGCAGTACTGCTACCCTTACTTCTGCGCTGCCTGCAGGGCTGGGCAGCTGGAGAGCAGCGGCTGCTGGCCGGGAGCCCAGCTCTGAAGGCAGAGCTGCCGCCAGCAGCAGCACAGAAGTAAGGATGGCCTGGTACGGTATTGCCACTCTTACTTCTGCGCTGCTGCCTGCAGAGCTGGGCCCTCAGTCAGCAGCCGCCGCTCTCCGGCTGCCCAGCTCTGAAGTCAGTGCAGAAGTAAAGGTGGCAATACCGTGACCCCCCTAAAATAACCTTGAGACCCCCCCCCCGCAACTTCCTTTTGGGTCAGGACCCCCAATTTGAGAAATGCTGGTCTCCCCGGTGAAATCTGCAAACTAAAGACCAGATTTCACGGGGGAGACCAGATTTCATGGGTCGTGACGCGTTTTTCATGGCCGGGAATTTGGTAGGGCCCTAAACATACGTGTTCCTGGGCAATATTCAGATACCCCTGCTGGGATGTAGGCAGGAAACTCTTGGGGCTTTGGATGTACCTCTGCCATACCTGCTGGGTGACAAAGAGGAAGTGTTCGCTGGGGTGACTCAGAATAAAGCGGTGATGAAGTCGTCTGATGGATTCACAGCGTCTGTGCTATGCCCCAGCCTTTAAGCAGTTTCCAGTGTTACCTGAATGCTAGGGCACCCCACCTTTACCTTCCATGGGCTCAAGCTGTAACCAGGCGAATTTAGGCACCCCCACCCTTACGCCACTCAGACCCTCCCCACTCCTAGCTGTGTTCCTGGCCCTGGCCCCAGCTTCAGTGCGGCTCTGCTCCCGCCCCCAACCTCGGCCCCTGGCCACAGCCTCACTCTCCGCCACAGCCTCAATCCTAGCTGTGACCCCAGCCCCTGACCCCTGTCCGCCACCCCCCAGCTGCGGCCCCACCCCTGACCCCGGGGTGTGTGTGCGGACAGCGGTAAGGAGGGACACGACCCTCAAAAGTTTGGGGACCTCTGCCTTAACCGCTATTTAGTAACAATCCCCAAAACAGAAGGCACACGCTAAGCCTACAGTGCTCACCACTCCCAATAAGGCAGATGAGCTTTTCTCGCTGGCCGGTCAGGATCAGGTCATCTGAGGGACTCCAGTTTCTGCACGGTGTCATTGGCAGGGTGTTGAGGTCTGGCAGCTCTGACGCTGGGGCCTGGAGCTGGTTCCCAAGAACTTCCCTTTGGACCCCAGTTTATATAGTGACACTTGAGTCCTGCTTAGCTGCACCTTAACCAATCATTTTAAACTAAAGTGCTACAAAATAATTATTTGACCAATCCTAACATATTGTGAAACAATTATTTAACCAATCAGAGCCCACCACCTTAGTTGATTTACCTCTTGCAAAATTAGGTATGCAACAGACAGAAACCATCAAAGAACCCAACCGAAACCATATAGATAAACAATAGAGCAGTAGGGACCATAAAGGCCAAACAACAGAGAAGTATAGATGTCACACCCACGACTACTGATAAGTGGTTTCTTGACAGACAGAATGCCATCAAATGAAGTTTTCTTTAACCATTTTAAGAGCTAGATTATTATCGGGTGATGGTGGGTGCTATTAGGACAGGATCGCCTTCTTAACAGCCCGATATTACATTTTTTGTAATGTAATTTAGATGGAATGTGAGGATGTGACTTCCTGATTTTTAGCTCATGGCTACTGCTGTCCTAATATGGCTGCAGACAAAGGCCTCAGATCTTACACCAGTGGTTCTCAAACTTTTGTACTGGTGACCCCTTTCACACAGCAAGCCTCTGAGTGCCACCCCCCACCCTTGTAAATTAAAAACACATTTTTTTTATATTAAACACTATTATAAATGCTGGAGGCAAGCGGAGTTTGGGGTGGAGGGTGACAGCTCGCAACCCCCATGTAATAACCTCGTGACCCCCTGAAGGGTCACGACCCCCAGTTTGAGAAACCCTGGTGTAACCCCTTCAGTGGGCCAGTGCCCACCTGTTCCCAAGGACAGATCATGTATTCTCAAGGACTCCGAGACTGACCCTTTGCGTTCCAACAACCCTCGTTTCTCTCCGTGGCTCTCACCAGTGAGGCCAGTCGAGATCAGATGACTGAGAGAGGCTTTTCCTTCTTAGGGAGCATTACAATCTGTGAGGCAAGGCAGTCTGTTCGAAACTAGGGAGCAGGGCGAGGGTGTCACTGGTTCTATCTTGGGGACGTTGGGGCAGGGCAGGGGGTGTCGCTGGTGCTGTCTGGGGGTGTTGGGGCAGGCAGGGAGTGTCGCTGATGCTGTCTGGGGTGTTCAGGCAGGGCAGGGGGTGTCACTGGTATTGTATGGGGTGAGGCAGGGCAGGGGGCAATGCTGGTGCTGTCTGGGGGGTTGGGGCAGGGCAGGGGGTGTCACTGGTGCTTTCTGGGGGGTGTTGGGGCAAGTCAGGAGGTGTCATTGGTGCTGTCTGGGTGGTGTTGGGGCAGGGCAGGGGGAGTTGCTGACCCTGTCTGGGGGGGGTTGGAGCAGAGCAGGGGGTGTCGCTGGTGCTGTCTGGGGGGGGTTGGGGCAGGTCAGGGGGAGTTGCTGACCCTGTCTGGGGGGGGTTGGGGCAGGGGGTGTCGCTGGTGCTGTCTGGGGGATGTTGGGGCAGGGCAGGTGGTGGTGCTGGTGCTGTCTGGGGTGGGGGGCTGGGATGCTGTATTAATTTAACTTGAATATATGGACCAAAGGTGTTACTATAACTAGGTCACCATTCAACATTAAACAGTTTCAGACGAGGTTTGGGCTTTAATATTCAGAGTCTTCTGCCGGCTCAGTGCCATGGCAAAGGCGTGGGTGGCGCCTGTGCCCCAAGTTTGGGGAGGCTAGACCCCTGCCTCTTCCCCCGAGGCCCTGCCCCCAACTCCGCCTCCTCCGCCCTCCCGCTCTCACTGCCTGGCCCCGAACCCCGGCCAGTGCCCGGAGCAGCCCTGAACCCTGGCTGGCCCAGAGCAGCACAGGGGAGCCCCAGCTGGGGCTGAGCCTTGAGCCTGGGCCCCCAGAGGAGCTCTGAGCCCTGCCGCGGCCTGGCACCAGGGCGCCGGCGCGGAGCATTAGCGGAGGTTTGGGAGACTTAGCCTCCCCCAGCCTCCATTGCCCGCCGCCCATGGGCAAAGGTGCCATGAACATGCTTTGATCCTTTTGTTAAGGATGTGGGAAAGGAGGACAAATCAGCGGAAGCATTTGCAATGTGAAGTATTGAGTAAGGCGCTCGGGCCTGGGCCACACCACACGCAGGGCAGCTTGCATCAGCCTAGTCGTGCATGTGTCTCCCCCCGATGTGGGTGCCCCGCATGCCACCCCAGTGACACCGCCTCCCCAAGTGGCTCTGAGCTACCTCCATGTCCTTAGGGCAACGCAGCACGAGTGGAGATGCGGTGATCGACCCTTGCGGTCCTCCAGCAGCTGTCCCACAATGCCCCGCATTGACCGCTGTGGTCACCCCTGGGACCTCCACTGCCCAGGGCTTGCGGAGACTGGGAGCACAGGCGCCAGGGGGATGCTTGATCCCCAGCTCTGACCCGGGCCCTGCCCCCACCCCACCCCTTCCCCCAAGGCCCCACCCCCACCCCGCCTCTTCCCGCCCAGTTCTGTCCCCTCCCCTCCCTGCTGCTTCCCCCTGAGCCGCATCCTCGCTCCTCCCCCCTCTCCCTCCCAGCCTCCTGCACGCCGCAAAACAGCTGTTCACAGTGTGTGGGAGGCGTGGGGAGGGAGGGGGAGGCTGATCAGAACAGCTGATCCACGGGGCCTGCCAGTGGGGGAGGTGGGGGGGAGCTGATAGGGGGCAGCACCCACCATTTTTCCCCCGTGAGTGCTCCAGCCCCGGAGCCAGCGCCTATGACCAGAAGCCCCCTCCCTTTCTGAGTGTTTGACATGCCTTGTCCTGATTGCCTGTCTTGGCGAGCACACCATTGCTGGGTGCAGCTGAGAGAGCGAATCCCCTTCCCACGGCACCTGGCCGTGCCCCAAGGGCGAGCCCCACCCACAGGCAGCTCCAGGGTGGGACTCAGTGTGGCCTGGGGATCCCCCCAGTGCACGAGCTCCAAGCCCAGCAGGTTTCCTCGGGCGCCTGGTCCCGGTGGAGCTGGGGGCAGGGGAGCAGTGTGGTGGGGGGCTGAGAGAAGGAGGGGCTGATCTCCTGTGGGAGAGGGTTTGGTGGGGAGAGGCAGGGGTGGGCACTGTGGCTGTGTGTGCGTTTGTCCCCCTCACAGCCCTTCTCCCGCTGCAGGACTGTGGTCGCTGACCTACGAGCAGGAGCTCACCGCGCCGCTCCACATCACGGCTGGGCGCGGCTACTTGGACTGCCTCAGGCACCTGCTGCTGAGGGGCGCTGCCGTGGACTTCGCACCTGGCGGTAAGACAGCTCTGCACGAGGCCTGCGCTGCGGCCAGAACGGACTGTGTGCGCCTGCTGCTCTCCTTCGGGGCTGACCCCAAGACTGTCTCTGAGGCTGGCTACCAGCCCCTGCACCTCTGCAAGAGCCCAGCCTCCATCCAGTGAGTTTCCTCCGGGGGGGCCCGCACACCCCAACCCGCCTGTGCACGCACACGCAGGGCCTGTTAGCAGCCCCGCCCCAGGGCCAGGCGCCAGCCCAGGGCTGAGTGTCTGGGTGCCACAGCCCATGGGGGAGAGGCCTGCTTTTGCCCCAGCAGCTGGGGCTGCCCAGGCCTGTCTGTACAGCACAGCACAATGCAGTCCCAAAGCCAGAGCGGCTTGTTGCTGAGCATGGGGCTGGCTCAGATGGGTGGGTCACTGCCTCCCCAGTCAGCAGGGCTCATGTGCCCACAACCCCAGCAGGAGGCGAGTGAGGCCCAGCCAGCATGCATTGCACTGGCAAAGCCCAGACCATGTCACAGGTGGTCAGGTAGGAACAGACCATCCACAGGCAGGGGCAGACCGAGGCACAGAGTGATGGACGTGCCCCAGGCCACACAGCAAGTCCGGGGCAGAGCTGGGATAGAACCCAGGAGTCCTGCTGCCCAGTCCCTTGTCCTGTTTGTTGGAACCCACTGGTCTGAGTACAGGGCCCCTGGAGCCTGGGATGCCAGGGCCCAACCACTGGGATTGTGGGAGAGGTGTGGGCACAACGGGGTGTCAGCATAGGGTGGATGAATGGCAGGATTGAGTGATGGTCATGGGTGACTGAGGGGCTAGTAGCCAGGAAGGTAGGTGGGGGCAGGGCAGGCGGGTCTGGGGCTAACTGGAGGTTGGGGAGGGGAATGGTGGGCGGTGAGGGGAATGGTTGGGGGGGTGGGTTAAGGGATGCATAGGGGATTAGCAGGCAGGGGCGGCTCCAGGCACCAGCGTAGCAAGCGCGTGCCTGGGGCGGCAAGCCGTGGGGGGCGGCCTGCCGGTCGCTGTGAGGGTGTCAGGCAGGCGGCTTTCGGCGGCGTGCCTGCAGGAGGTCCGCTGGTCCCGCAGCTTCGGCAGCAATTCGGCGGCGGGGATGCCGATGCCGCGGCACCGGTGGACCTCCTGCAGGCATGCCGCCGAATCCGCGTTACCAGTGGACCGCCCGCAGCCGTGCCACCGAAAGCCACCTGCCTGCTGTGCTTGGGGCGGCAAAAAACATAGAGCCGCCCCTGCTAGCAGGCAGGGGGTGGGTGGATGGGGGACGGCGGGTGAGGGCTAGCAGGCAGTTGGTAGGTGGATGGGGGTTGGTGGGGGAGAGTGGGCTAGCATGCAGGCGGTGGGTGGATGGTGGGGGGAAGGGGTGCTAGCAGGCAGGGGGTGGGTGGATGGAGGTTGGTGGGTGGAGCTAGCGGGCAGGCGGTAGGTGGATGGGGGGAAGGGGGGCTAGCAGGCAGGCGGTAGATGGATGGGGGACAGGGTGGGGAGGGGGGCTAGCGGGCAGTCGGTAGGTGGATGGGGAGTGGGGGGGGCTAGCAGGCAGGCGGTGGGTGGCTGGAGATGGCGGGGGGAAGGGGGGCTAGCGGGCAGGCGGTAGGTGGATGGGACAGCAGATGGGGGCAGTGGGTAGTTGCGGGGGGGGATAGTGGGTAGGCAGTAGGTGGATGGGGGTGGGGAGGGAGGTTAGCGGGCAGGCGGTAGGTAGATGGGGACGGAGGGTGGGGAGGGGGGCTAGCGGGCAGGCGGTGGGTGGATGGTGGGGGGAAGGGGGTGCTAGCAGGCAGGGGATGGGTGGATGGGGGATGGCGGGGGCAAGGGAGGCTAGGAGGCAGGCGGTGGGTGGATGGCGGGAGGAAGGGGGGCTAGCAGGCAGGTGGTGGGTGGATGGAGGTTGGTGGGTGGAACTAGCGGGCAGGCGGTGGGTGGATGGCGGAGGGAAGCGGGGGGGCTAGCGGACAGGTGGGAGGTGGATGGGACAGCAGATGGGGGTTAGGGGGCAGTGGGTAGTTGGGGGGGATAGTGGGTAGGTGTTGGGCAGAGGAGGGAGAAACACATGGCTGAGGGGTCCCACGCCCTGCAGGTGTGCGCAGCTGCTGCTGCAATATGGTGCCAGCGTGAACAGCCAGACGGAGGAGGAAGAGGACACAGCGCTGCACGTGGCAGCACGGCACGGCCTGGAAGAGCACGTCCAGCTGTACCTGCGCCATGGAGCGGGGCTGGAGGCCAAGAACGAGGAGGGTCAGACCCCCCTGAATGCCGCCTGCGCCCAGGCGCACCCACCCCAGGACATGGAGCGCTACTATCGCGTCTGCCAGCAGCTGGTGCAGAGCGGTGCCAATGTCGATGCTGCGGACCAGGACCAGCAGCGCCCGCTGCACCAGGCCTGCAAGAACGCCAGCGCCCATGTGGTGGAGCTGCTGCTGGCCCACGGCGCCAGTGTCAACATCATGAGCTACAGCGGCAACACAGCCATGCACAACATCTTGCAGGTGGCGGCCTACAAGCTGGGGCACCGGCCAGAGCTCGTGGTACGGGCGCTGCTTAACCATGGCTCCATACGCATCTGGCCCGGGGCCCTCATCAAGGTGTGGAGCTGCCTGGGGCAGCAGCACGATGGGTGCTGCGTGAGAGGGGTGTGTGAACAGGGTCCCCTCCAGGAGGCATTCCCTCCCTGCAGTCAGGGCCCCCTCCCCTTGTCGAGGTCTTGTTCCCGGCCAGCTCAGGGGCTTGAGTTCCCTCTTGCTACCCAGCAATTGGGGTCCTGCAGCGAAGTCAAAGACTCGCTGGTGCGGCGCCTCCTGCTGGTCGTCTTGGGAATTAGCTCTCCAGCCTCCGGAGCGCCCTCTGTAGGCTGGTGTCTCGCCTGCCGCTGGCCCCCCGTGTCCCTCCCGGACCCTGGTGCCCTTTACCTCAGGGTTCGGCCCCCACAGTACCCCCACGCTCTGGGTCTCCCCTCCCAGGGGAACCCCCAACCCTCTATCCTCACCTTGCCTCAGTGGCTACTGCCAGTCGTCATCTAGCCCCCGCTCCCTGGGGCAGACTGCAGTCTGTCATGGCCACTCATCATCAGCAAGGGGGTAGGACCTGCTGCCTCTGCCTATTCCCAGGCTACACCCCTGCAGCCCCGCACCTGTTTCAGCCTTGACCAAGGCCTCAGCCTGGGGAGTTGCCAGGCTGGAGCTTCCCAGCTCCTCCTGCCCTGCCCCAGCACTGCTCTGTCCAGTACCCTGCCCCCAGGCAGCCGGGCCCTTCTCCCTCCAAGGCAGGAGGGAGACTGTTTCCTTGGTGGCCCGGCAGCTCTTTTATAGGGCCAGCCTGGCCCTGATTGGCTGCCTTTTAACCCCTGTTCTCCAGGAGTGGGGCAGCCACCCCACTACAGGTCCCCAGACCCCAGGCGCCAGCATTTGGGTTCCTTTCCCTGGCTGGGCTGCTGATTGAGGGGCCCAGCTGTGTCCCTTTAATGGCCATATTTAGGTATCTACCGGGGCAGGTCACCGCTGCCCCCTGCTGAGGTTACTAGGGCCTGGGGGGCTGTGAGGGCGTGAGCTCCCAGCCCTGGCGTTGTGAGCAGTGGGGACTTGGCTGGGAAAGAGAACGTGAGCCTGTCTCTCTGGCACTGGCCTTAGGAGATGCTCTTCGTCCGTGGGCCATCGCCCCCTGGCTCGAGTTGGTTAGTCCTGGTGCAGTCAGTCCGGCCAGTCATTCTTCAGGAGGGGGTGTGGTCTGTGTGGGCCCAGGCTGAGGTGGGGCAGGGCAGAGGGGGTGCATGAGAAAGGCCATGCTCTGGAGAACCTGTGCTCTTAGACCAGGGCCATGGAGGGCAGAACAAAGTGGCAGGAACTCACGCTCAGCCCCTGGTCACACCAGCTGGGGCTCCCTTCCTTGCCAATGGCCCTGAGGGTGGCAGCCTCTGCTCTGAGGGCTTTGTCCTGCAGGGGTGGGGCAGGAGCTAGGTGTGAGGAGAGGCCAACTGCAGGCAGCATGTCCAGGTGCTGGCCACATGCAACTTCCTGGCTCTGCCCCCTCTGCAGGGAGCGTGCAGGCTTTCCCAGTGCCTGGGGCGCATCCCAGAGCGTGCTGGGCTGGAGGGGCAGCGTGGAAGCTGTCTGCCGGGGAGTGTGGCACCATGAGCTAGACCTCTGTCACCTCCAAGCTGGGTCAGTGCAATGTGCACCTGAGATCAGCTAGGACGGGCGCTGCAGTGGATGCAGAACGTGTCGGCTGCCTGGCGAGCAGTGTCCTACCAGGAACGCCCCTGGGGCACCCTGAACAGCCTATGACCTGCCCCCTCCCTTGCCATGCTGCCTGGCTGTGATGGGGATTGGGCACCGCAGGAAGGGGGCAGCATGCCAGGGTGTGGGGCAGGGGTTGTGGCATGCCCAGACCTACAGAGATTGACGTGTGTGGGGAGAACAGGTGACGTGGGGGTAGGCACGGTCTGGGGGGGCTGCAGAGGGAGGTGTACTGAGGGGGGATCCACGTGGAGTGATATTTCCCCCTAGGGGTCTCTTGCCTTCCCTGTGTGCTGAGCGCACAGCCCTGCCACCAAGCTCCATTAATCTCCAGGCCCCACGAGGTGCTGTCCCGCCTTGGTGAAGTTGGCCTGTCTCTTCGGCACTGGCCTTAGGCGGTGCTCTCCTTCCGTGGGGCATTGTCCCCAGCTCCTGCCGCCTCCTCGTGCGAGACACCAGCAAGCAAAGGGTTAACTATCTTCCTTAATTCCCGAGCAGTGCAATAATTACCCAGCCTGGAGATCTGCAGATTGCTCTCCCCTTTGGGAAAATACAGGAAAATCAACAATTAACACTAATTAATCTCCTATTAACACCAGATAATGAGGCTCACTCGTGCAGCTGGAATAGGCTCTGACAGCTACTGATGGCCTGGGCCATGGGGAGTGGGAGTCAGGGGATGGGGAGGGAATCCACCCACACGCAGCCCTCCTGCTGCCATAACAACCCGCAGGCCTGCAACCCTCAGGCACGGCCCATCCCACCCCACCCCACCCCATCACGTGTGACGTGGGCATGGCCCATCACAGACTGGGAAAAGACAGGTTACAGGACTTGCCCAGGATCACAGGGCAGCAGAAGCAGAGCAGGGAATCCGGTGCCTGGTGCGTGAGACCAGCCTTCTCCCGTCCCCTCCCCTGCTGCAGGTGTTGCGCTACTGCTGCTCCTCGCCTCGCACCATCGAGGTGCTGATGAACAGCTATGACCGTGTGCGGGTCACTGACGAGTGGGCAGAGGCTGTCCCAGCTGAGATCATGCAGGTAAGAGAACCAAGAGTCTTCAGGGACCTGGGGCTTCACCCCACAGTGCCTGGCTGACCGGGCAGGTCCCAGAAGTACCCTCTGAAGGTTTGAGGAGGCAGGGAAGGTGCTGGGCAGAAGCTCTGCAGTGAAACAGGGAGAGACAGAAATCGAACGGCTGTAGGGATAAGGCTGTGACCTTTGTGCTAACCGAGCTCCTTGTTCAGTGTTGGTGGAAAGTGTCTGCCCCTGATTTGTTGCCATTGTCACAGGACATGGGGTAGGGGCACCAGCCCGCTGTCATGGAGGAAACGTGGCCCATGCTGACCTCTCTCTTCTCTCCTGACAGAAGCACCCGGATTTCTACGAGTCGCTCTTCTCCCTGGGGCAGAGGCCCCGCTCCCTGCAGCACCTGGCCCGCTGTGCACTCAGGAGCTACCTGGAGGGCCGGCTGCTGCAGGTCTTGCCTGAGCTGCACCTGCCACCTTCCCTGCACCAGTTCCTGCTGCTCAGCTTCGAGGACATTCTCTACTAGGGGCCTGGAGCCTGGATTGAGCCACCTCTAAATCCTTTTCTTTCTTTGCTTTGAAGTCTTGTGCCCTGCCCTGCCTGTGACAGCTCTGCTCTGCCCAGCCCAGCCCAGCTTTGCCCTCCCCACTCACACCAGCCAAAGCCAGCCCTTCTGTGCCCATGCCACCCCATACCCACCTGTGCCAGGTCTGCCCTTTGTTCTCCCAGCCGAGACACCCGCTGCCCGCACCAACCCGGCCCATCCCATGCCCGCAGGCTCTATTGCTGTAGCCTGTGGTGGGGCCCTGCCTTTCGTGGGGCCATTTCGCTGGCCCTGCTTTGTATTATGGAATAAATCCTGGTGTTTGTATGCCCTGGTTGGCATGTGTCCTTCCTTGTCGCACTGGGGGCTGCCGTCTGACCTGCCCCATGCTGGCTCTGGCTCTGCAGAACACGTGGTGCAGGCACGGCCACAGAGGGACGCTGGGGCCACAGCTGCAGGCTGCGGCCTCCCCCTCCCTCAGTAGCTTTTCTGGGCTGTAGTTAGCACTGAGGTGTGGCAGATCCAGCTTGGAGTTCAGCTTGACAGATTCACAGCTGCCTCAGTTTCCTGTTCTTCATGATGAATCATGTTCCCTGCCACTTGCCACCAGCTCCTCCCAGCACTGCGTCAGATGGGACCAAGGCCTTTGTAGACCAAGATTTGTGAAGGGCCCAAGTGACACAGTGGCTGATGGAGCCTGCTTGTGCAGGCAGCTGTGGCCCTCCCCACAGAGCCAGCCATACGTAGTGGCCCTTGGTGAAGCCTGGCTGGTGCCGGAGAAGTGATCTTAATTGAATCCAGGAAGGAACGGGGGGTGTTTTGCTGGGGAGGGGGGTTTCTGCTCAAAAGCTCTTCCGTTCTTGGTTACGTTGGAAGTGTGACCGTTTGTGTTGTGCAGCCGGGAGCCCAGTCGCTCATTCCTCTCGCTGTCTGCTCCAGGAGGGTGCATGGCTCCGCTTTAGCTTGTGCCGCTGCAAGAGGTATGCAGCAGAGGCAGCAGGATCGCATGTCTATGTTCCTGAGCCAAGATTAATTATAGCACCCTTGGCAGCTCTGCTAGAATTGTCTGGGACTTGCTTGCTGGATGAGTATTCCAAGTGCTCCAAAATCTGTATGCTAGCTTGGATCAGCATGACATTTTTTGTGCTTCATGGGGATGCAGGGTGGGATTAGTGATCCAAATTTGGGGTCATTTGAGCAAGGAGCTCCTGAGATACAACCCCACAAAATCATCTGGTTCTTATAAAGTCATTTTCCTGGGGCTCAACCGGTCAGTCTGATCCTCCCTTAACTGATCTCAGCTCTTGGGATTTATATCTGCTAGTGCAGGGCACCTTCTGTCCCCTGGGGATGCAATATTGGAAAAGTTACTCGAGGTAAATGTGGTTGCTTCTTGTCAGCTTGAGCTAATGACATGTCAGAGAGTGAAATGCACATGTCTAGTGAGACACATGCATCTCTTAGCAGCCATAGGCTTTGCTGGTATTGGCTGTCAGAGTATCTGCATGGCTCAAGGTGACGTGCTATGGCTGCCCAAGCAGACTCTGTTTTTACCTTAGAATTAGTGGCAGGGAAATTAGCATTAACTAGTCAGAGGGAAGATGAAAGATGCTACTAGGTAGTTAGAAAAACGTAAACGTGACTCATACTCTTCACATGTTTCTTGAACAATAAGTGATCAAAGGCAAGCAAATGGCTGGGTCATTTGGTCCAGGGATTCCTGATACACATGAGCGACTCAAAGCTGCAGATGCTCGTAACGGTTTTGGTGCAGAGCTAGAGAGTGTGGAGGAGCTGGGAAGTTGCAGGGTGTGGGGTTCTGCCCCTTTGCCAATCTTCACCCGTGGGGCTGAGGCAGGGCCAGCTCACCTGCACACAACCACCCTTGTTAGTGCAAGGCACAGTCCTACATTATGCTTTTGAAACCCAGGTCAATGACTACAGCTTTGACTAACTGGGTTTCCAAAAAAAAAAAAGAAAAAGTTTTTCTACGATCCCTCAATGAATAAGGGCTTATCCTCAAAGGGACCTTTGCTGTCTGGGAGCTTGGAAGTGCTGACGCCTTCCCCTCCAGTGACATATTCGGGGAGGGGAAGGGAAGCCAAACCATCTGTGCCCTGGACCCTTACTCCCCAACCAATAGCCTCCCTCCTCCACAGTTGCTCCACCAGGCCAAGGGAGGGTGCTAAGGGACTCAACTTCCTTTCATTGCTCGGGGAAGGAACCCAGAACTCCCCACCTGCCCTGTACTGCCCCCAGCAGTGGAGCAAGGGCTCCAAGCTCGCCCTACGCCTGGCTGCTGCTTCTAGGGGGAAAGGAGAGATCAGTGCAGGGGGGGGGGAAGTAAGGGAGGGGTGTCAGAGCTGTGCAGCGGGGAATGTGGGGGAGGCTTCAGCTCTGCTCCCAAACAGCCTCACATTCATACCCCCCATTTCTGTCCCCCTTCAAAACATAGCCCTACAGTGTTGAGTCTGGGATGGGGAACCAAGAATGAGCACAGTCAGTGCATGGCACAGGCACACATTGCTGAGATGGGGTTAGGAGCTGAAGACAGGCATGCTCAGGGCTTGACACAGGCCCCTGGAGCTGGGACACTGCAGGAAGGGTGAGAACGCACATGGAGCAAATTGGAGCAGTTTGCACCTCTTAGAGCGATTCTTTCAGGCAGTGCCCATCTTCATGGGGTGTTCTCATTCATCTGAGAACATCTCATTGAGATGAATGGGCCACTTCACACCTCACTGAGTCTGCTGTGCTGCAGATGGCTGTGAGAACCCCTTCCCCATACACTAGGTCTGGATTTGGGGTAAGGACTCTGTAGCGTCACTTTTCTGCCTCCTGCTAGCACATGAACCCCTCCCAGCCCACCACTGTCTCATGGCCTAGCAGTGGGGCATGGTGTGGCAAGGTGGAGGATGGAGTTGGCGTCAGAAATCAAGGCCTGCAGCAGAGCCAGTCTCCAGGCAACCTAATGCATGCAGCTCATCTGGAGTAGGTGACCTAATTGGCTATACCACCTGATTGGTTTGAAGACTCAGCAGACTTAAGCACAACCTCAGTTGGCACTAGTTCAGTGGCCACTTAAAACATTTACCTACAGCTGTGACAGCACCAGGGCCGGTCCAGGCACCACGCAGCAAGCTGGTGCTTGGGGCGGCCTGTGGAAGGGGGCGGCACGTCCGGGTCTTCGGCAATTTGGCGGCGGGTCCCTCAGTCCCTCTCGGAGGGAAGGACCAGCCGCGGAATTGCTGCCGAAGAATGAAGCAGCGCGGGAGAGCAGCCGCCGAAGTGCCGCCGATCGCGGCTTTTTTTTTTTTTTCTCTTCGCCGCTTGGGGCGGCAAAAAAGCTAGAGCCGGCCCTGGACAGCACCAGTGCTTGCTTGATCCAGCCCTGGCTCGGCTCGCTGCAGAGAACCCAGTTCTGACCCCTGACTTTGGCCTCCATCTCTGCTTTTCACCCTGTGCTCTGACTCCTGGTGCCTGCTCTAACCAGCAGCATCGTGCCTGCTCTAGCTGGTAGGCTGACAGGTCAGTGACTGCTTGGGAGGGGTTAGCAGAGGGGCTGTACGCTGCGGCTTAAGCCATGGCACAATGCAGGGAATGTTGGAGAAGTGGTGGGGGACTTGGAACACTTGGGTGTGGTTGGAGGGGATTGGAGTATTGAGGGGGCATACAGCGGGTTCTGGAGCAGTACAAGGGAGGGTACAAGAGTTGTATTGCGGGGGTGGTGTGTACCTTAACTTTGTACTGCCTGGTTTTCGTAGATTCCAAGGTCAGATGGGCCCATTGTGATCATCCAGTCTGACCTTCTGTATAGCACAGTGTCAGATGGGCCAATGGGGCCCATGCCCAGGGGCCAATTGGGGGGCCCCTAGAAAAATGAGTGCCCCCATGTCCTGACCCTCTTCGCCCACCCAGTGCTCCTGCTGGGGAGTGGGGGAAGCCCTTGTGCCCTGACCCAGCTCCCTGGCAGGAGTGCTGGGCAGGTGGGGCAAGCCCCCATGTCCCAACCCCATTTCCCCAGCAGGATTGCTGCAGGGTGGACTGCAGGCAGAAGGGGTGGGGAGGGGCCCCCACTTGCATTGGCCCAGGGCCTCACAAGCCTGTAAGCCACTTCTGGTACAGCACAGGCCCAGAACGTACCCCAAATAATTCCTAGAGGAGAGCTTTTAGACAAGCATCCCATCTTCATTTAAACACTGGCAGTGATAGAGAATCCACCAACACCCTGGGTAAATTGTTCCAAGGGTTAATTATTCTCACCAGTATAAATTTGCACCTTGTTTCTATTCTGAGTTGGTCTAGATTCCACTTCCAGCCATTGGAGAATTTAGACCTTTCTCATCTAGATTGAAGAACCCATTAGTAAATAATGGTTCCCCATGTAGATGCTAGGGCTTGAAATAAAAATGAGTCCGGTGGCACCTTAAAGACTAACATTTATTTGGGCATAAGCTTTTGTGAGTAAAAAACCCCCTTCTTCAGATGGGTGGAGTGAAAATTACAGATACCGGCATAAATATACTGGCACATGAAGAGAAGGGAGTTACTTTACAAGTGGAGAACCGGTATTGACAAGGCCAATTCAGTCAGGGTGGATGTGGTCCACTCCCAATAATTGAGGAGGAGGTGTCAATACCAAGAGAAGGAAAATTGGTTTTGTAGTGAGCCAGCCACTCCCAGTCCCTATTCAAGCCCAAATTAATGGTGTTAAGTTTGCAAATGAATTGTAGCACTGCAGTTTCTCTTTGAAGTCTGTTTTTGAATCTTTTTTTGAAGGATGGCTACTTTTAAATCTGTTATAGAATGTCCAGGGAGATTGAATTGTTCTCCTACTGGCTTTTGTCTGTTACCATTCCTGATGTCTGATTTGTGTCCATTTATTCTTTTGCGGAGGGACTGTCCGTTTTGGCCAACGTACATGGCAGAGGGGCATTGCTGGCACATGATGGCATATATCACATTAGTAGATGTGCAGGTGAATGAGTCCCTGATGGTGTGGCTGACGTGGTTGGGTCCTCTGATGGTGTCGCTAGAGTAAATATGGGGACAGAGTAGGCAACGAGATTTGTTACAGGGATTGGTTCCTGGGTTGGTGTTTCTGTGATGTGGTGTGTAGTTGCTGGTGAGTATTTGCTTCAGGTTGGGGGGCTGTCTGTAAGTGAGGACTGGCCTGCCTCCCAAGGTCTGTGAGAGTGAGGGATCGTTTTCTGGGATAGGTTGTAGATCGTCGTTGATGTGTTGGAGAGGTTTTAGCTG